TTTTTGATCTGGTAAGGACTAAGGAGTGATTTATAATGTTACTAAACAGGTGAAAGGCCTGGCTGTGCAGTCACATACACCTGACACTTGCACGGCTATTGTTCCTGTAATATATAACTTATTAACCAGTGTAGGTCACAGGTATTAGTAAGCAGAGCTATAACTCCAGAAGCAGAAAATACCAGAGCTGCAGAACCACTTGGAAGCAGAGCTGTCAATCACTATTAATTCTAACAGTGATATAAAAGTGTGAATTGACAGGTGTAAAGGACCACTCCACACTTATAAAAGGAAACCAAAGGTCCTCTTCCCACGGATTAGCACACTATAGTTGCAGGCGGGGGGTGGGGGGAAACTGTGCCACATGGAGCCTACCACTTCCGCACTAGCCAGGGCCGGACTGGGAGAAAAATTCGGCCCGGGCATTTTTTTAACACAGCGGCCCACTAAGAAGGGGGCGGGGCAGAGGAGGTGTGTTTCGTCATCACCAATGACAAACACGCCCCCTCTCAAAGTGAGCATGTTGGTTCAATGCTCTCCCAGGGCAGACCATGCGCAGAGCTCTGCTGAAGAGCTCTAGCATGAGAAAAAAGCCCTGTATTTGTTCTGCACAGTGCAAGCAAATTTAATAACATGCTTACACTGTGTTTCCTTGCAACTTGTCTCTGGTGTCTCTATAAATGTGGTATGTGAAGGGTGTAGTATGTGTGTGTGGTGGATGCTGTGTTTGAGGGGTGCTGTGTGTGATATGTGTGTGGGTGCTGTGTGTATGGGTGCTGTGTGTGAGGGTGCTTTGTGTGAGGGTGCTTCACGATTTTTTAGGTCCCGCCATCCCACCTTATTTCCCTGGTGTCCAGCTTTTGGGGAAACCTTGGAACAGTTTCCAACGAGTATAGAGAGGTTGCATCATTAGATGCACTCGCCAATGCGTCTGAAGCAATATCAGGGCACTAGGACCATGCAGAGAGCTCTGAAACACCTTTCCAGGTGGGTCTGCCTCCTTTTGGGCCAAGTTGGTGCCGCAATAATATCACTGGTCCGCCTCCTCACCCTCCTGCCAATGGCATCCAAATTCTCAGCACAACTCTATCTCCCCAGCTCCTCTGCCAGCACATCGCCACCACGAAAGGGGTCTAAATTCATAAAATATAGCATTTGCTCCCTGGGTACATAACACCCACTAATCTAGAACACAAAGTTAGGTTTCCTTTAATCCGGTTCTGTCTTAAAGGAACACTATAGGCATCCAGGCCACTTTAGCTCATCCCAGGTCCCTTAATCCTGCATAGGTATTTATTGCAGTTTTTAATAACCTGCAATAATTACCTTTGAGGGTTAACTTCACCTCTAGTGGCTGTCTGCAAGAAAGCTACTAGATGGACATCCGGGTCGTTAGGAGCTGGAATCAGGTAAGTGACAGAAGGGGTTTTTAATGGACAGAGGGCATTATATGGAGCTAAAGTGCCAGGAAAACACAGTTGTATAGTTTCCCTTTAAGGAAACCTAACTGTAAATGAAATATGTTATATAAAAATGACATAACAGCGAAATAAATGTTAAGAGAAATGAAGGCCATTGTGGAGTTCTGATGAAATTCTTAAACCTTTTGACATTTGGTCTTGTGATTGATTACAATGTCTCCA